TTTCAAGAGCTAGGTCTAATGGAAAAATTCATTAATAATGGTGAAAAGGGCTCCCTCACACTCATCTCCCTTTCCCTTCTTCTACCCGCAATCAATGTTTACGAATTTTCCCGGAAGCACCTCCCACTTTTCCACTTCTTCAGTCGGCTCACTCATTTTCTTTTCCTTCTGCTTGGCTTCGGGGGTCTAACGGTTTACCTTTTCGCCTTCTCTCGGTTCGTCCCATGGATCCTCTTATATCACCTCTTCCTTCTCAACTGCTGCCACAAGCCCCTTCTTCCCCTTCAGAGACATCAAATAACATAACCTCGCCATTTTATGGTGACCGGACTCTACTCCCACTCCTGCTTCCGTTGGGATAAATTTCATCATCAGATGGGATGTAGATACTACCGCCCCTATCGCATTCAACGTTCCTTCAATGGCATTTCATCTGGTTCGGTCGATTCGCAAAACGTGTGTTCTTTCGGGTTTGAGCTATTCAAAGTCTATCTAGTCCCTTCCTGTCTTTTATTGGTGCCATAGGCTACTGGTCGTACTGCCTCGACGGCTGTTCCTTACAAGTCTATTTCCGTTCTATCTAAATTTGGATAGATCGACGCTCTATTGGAAGTCGTTCGTTCGTACTGCCCGAGATGTATATCGATCAGCTATGGATGAAACTGATAGTGTAACTGCCAAATCATCCAAGTAAGGAAATCGATAAGCACGAAGATTTCTCTCAAAGACGAGAATATCATTCAGTCTTGAGAAATGCATATTGTCGTTAAGATCTGGATTGTGACAGAAGTCGTCGGCACGGACCTTTCCAGATCCAGGCAGAAAGATTTCCTCTGCTAACGGCTCTGGTTGAGAGTCTCCCTCCTTTTCAGTCCGATGCGTTTGAGCAGTAGTCGTTCCCATCCTCTTGATTTCCGAGTCTCGTGAAAGAAATCCAATGCGAAAAAGACAGCAACGACCTTCTGATAGTTAGGAAAAAAAGGCAATCCATGTTCCGCCCTTCCTCTTTCGCTTGTTTTGGCTGTGAGTTCTTCTATTGAATCTGTTTCATTTTTCATGTGTTTGAATGTATTAACTGATTAGTACATGTGCATGAGTGACACGAGTTAATACAGGAAAAGAAAAAGCTGTACCAGTCTTGACATGTGTTAGTGCACGAAAAGCCTAAGCCACGTCCAATCTTGTTGAATTTCTTTTCAAGGTTTAAAAAAAGCTAATCCAGGTTCCTTTTGGTTGGGGTCTGTCAAATAGAAACTTGTTGAGATGGGACAGGTCAGTTTGAACTTTCTTTGAACCAGCAAATTTGCAATTTTTTGATTCTTCATACTGGCATGCCTGACTTGAATTATGCTTAATTAGCACTCATCGAGTTTGAGCTTTCTTGAAGTTTCAATATGTGCAGTTCAGGCTTGAGACTGACAAGAGTCAACGTGAACGTGTTACTGCCCCCGCGGGTCGACATGAGCTTCTCTTTGCTAGTTCAAGTCGACTGGAGCCGGCCAATGGCTAGAACAAGTCAGTTCAAGCTGCTTCGCACTACCGTTGCTAACGGATTCAAGTTGTCTGCAGTCGACACAAGCTTGCCGCTGCTGCCGCAAATCAACTCAAGCTCCTCGTTCCATCATGAAAGAGTAAAGCCCCAAAATGGGTACACAGCTAAACATGAGAGCAAGCAGACTATTATACGTGTAACTAAGCCTTCAAAATGGGGGTGTGCATGTAACTTAGCCGTCATAGAGCGGGTTCGCTTGTAAATAGGCCCAGACCAGCGCCTCTTTGTTCTACATGGCATCTCGATTCTTCACTACACCCAATCTGTATCGACTCCCATTAATTACACCTTTTCTAGGTTACGAGTGTGGAAAGAGACTTCTTTCTTTTCATATTATATAGAATAGTCTTCTCTTCGTGCGTTTCCGGCTTTTTGCCTTCAGCACGCCATGGAAGCGGTGCCCCTAAAAGAACCGAGTTGAGGAGTCATTCCCTAACCCTAAAGCTTAATTGCTTCAAAGACTAGGATCAGGTTTCCTCTACTATAACTCATTGTTCTCCGAACTCGCCAAAGGCCCTGGGTTCGAATCCACTTCAGGATTTGAAGTCCTGTCTCAGTTCATGCTCGTCTAAGAGGCTGGTCGCCCTACAGTTCTTTTTGTTTGGCAGCTAGTTGAAATGTAAGCTCTCTTGCTTTCTCCTCTGGAGATTCATATAGTTCCTCTCAATTCAATTCTTTACCGTTCGTACCTTCCTTCAACTCTTTTCAGCCCAGTGGAGTGAAAAAGCTAGGAAAAGAAAAGGAGACTAAAGCGAGGAAGTAGACCTAGTTCCGTTTTCTACTTTATTTAGCCCCCTCAGTGGAGAGAACCTTACCCGGTATTTGAAAAAGCCAAGCATGAAGCCGAGAATTAGCTCTTTCATTGATGATGGTCGACGTAATAGCTCCTTTCTCTAACCAAGTAGACAGGAAAGGAAGAGTATGCACATTGGTACTCAAGGATGTCCTTAGAAAACCCTCTTTGCCAGTCAGTCTAGTTTCTCATGTAGGTGGGTATTCAACTCTTTCACTCCCCCTTTCTTCCTAGTGAGATCTTTTGACCGGGTTGAAAGTTACCTTTCTCCTTTTAGTCAGCCTTTCCCTATTTTACTCCTCTATTTAGTAAGCCTTCCCCTGGGATTTAGTTAGCAAAGTCTGTGAGCCCGGAAGCCTAAACCACTCTCTTCGGCACATTTTCCCAGCTCTACAAGCTACTCTTTCTTCTCTCTTGGGCTCTTTGACAGTAGCAATGCGAACAGTTAACTAGCAGAAAGGACGTGTCGGGCTAAATAAAGGATGAACTTTGGAAATACCTCTACCAGCCAACTAGGTAGAACTTATAGGCTTGTAGCATACTACACGTTTTACCCTATTTTTTGTAAAAGAGCTTCATATGCAACAATACCGGAGTACGGTACAGAGGGCAAAGAGACTGAACCTTCATATAGGACTACTTTTGATCAGGACTGACTTTTTTCTAGCGAAGAGACACTTAGTTTAGAGGGTCTGGCTAGCCCTTTGTTAAGATAGGCGTACAGAATGATGAACGTATGGAGTTAGTTCGGTGGGTTGGTTGGGGAGTGATTTTGTACCTAAGATTGCAGATTTTGGGCTCACAAAGCTGTAGTTGAGAGGTTTCTTTCATTGCTCGGGCATGCCTTCTTTACTTAGGGTATTTCATACCAACGTCTTGCCTGGCTTATCACACCAATCTTCTTCTTCCCTTGACTACAACGAGAGGACAGGTGATGTAAAGCAAAGGATCAGGAAAGGAGAGTTTCAGAGGGTCGGAGTCCCACAAGCAAAGAAGGATTCGAAATATGACGTCGATGTGATCATAGTAGAATGGACGTTGAGAATGGGCCTTATGGTCTTTTCGCTCCGTTCTTCCTCAACATGGTCATTCTCTGCCGCATAGAGCGCACTCTCAGGTCCGTCTTTTGCTTGGGTGAAAAAGGACTTTCACTGTCGATCCTGCTACTAGATTAGGATACGTAACCATTCGTCTCTTCCTTACTCATAAGCTCAATCCCAGGGTAGGCTATGCGGACGACTGCTCGACTCATTCTTCAATGGCCAAAGTTGGGTAGGAAGAATCCTACACCGGAAAACCTTTTGAATCCAAGACCTGAAGAAAATGAATACGCACTAGACTCCGTCAAATAAACATATTGGGAGAGAAGAGAGCTCTGTTCATCCAAGCAATCGGAGACACTAGTTAATCTACAGAGTAGTAGCTCGGGGCGTTAAAAAAAAGATTTAAAAAGGTAAACTGGAATGTGCAGAATATCTAGTCGAGTTCGCAGATTTGACTGAACACAGATAAACTATAAACGAAAATAGAGAACTGGATGCGGTTAAGCATACCACTTCGGAAAAGTGGAAAGGCACGGTGTTAAACCATAGGCCTTTAACGGAACTCGATCACTTATTAGACCGATATATGAACGGCAACCTCTTTAGCTTTTCCACTCCCTCACCACACCAACCACTGTGTGATACTGAACACCCACACAATCTCGATTTTAAAGAGAGAGACTGCCATCGCCATCTCTTTGGACATGCATGTGTTAAGGATATAGTTTAGCTAGCCTACCTTCTGATGAGCCAGGAGCTCGGATGTCTAAGACGCAACGCGTACGAATCGCTACGCTATGTTTCTTTCTATATGATAATATGAAAAACCAAAGTAAGTCTTTGACCTTCCAGCCAGGACCACACTACACTTTTCAATCAAATAACCCCGCTTCGCACCTATGAGCAAATCACTGAAACACAGGGAGAAGTCTGGTTGTTCATCACAAGATACACATCTCAGACAGCCAGGACCAAGCACAACTATATAGCTTCTCAACTGCATCCCGCTTGCTGAACGAGCTTATCTCATCAGTAAGATCACCCAGTAAAAGCAAATGTAGCAGATCATCCCATTCTAGGCCGACAAGGAGAAACCCCTTTTTTTTCCAAATGTAAAACAACGAGGATGATCGTTTAATCCTAGAGATGGGACCCGGCCATTACTATCGGTCTGCCTTTAAAAAGGAAAGTAGCTTTGGCCTTCGAAAGAGCTTATCAAAAAAGATTTTTTCAGTCGAGTCAGTGAAGAGAGCAATGAACGCCAAAATAAATTTCCATGGCTCCCGACCTGCAATTGATATAAGCATTAGCAGTATTTGAAAATGGTCTACCAAAAAGAATAGGTGGCTGCTTCCCCTTATGCACCACCCCCATGTCAAAGTATCAAAACAGATGCTTCTAGAAATTGGTACAGCTGAAATTTCTCGCACCACCTCATCAGGGAGAAAAAAAGCTAATAAACTAAGATGCCAATCCCTATTAGGAATGAGATAGTGGGAGAGAGACAAACCTTCCAACAGCTCTGACATGTTCATAGGAATAGGCCTTCTATTCAATGCAGTCCCACCGAGCCAAGGGTCTTATAACAATCGCACCGAATTACCATCTCCAATCCGCCACTGGAAGTTCTCTTTAATAGAATGACTGGCTTTACATATCTCCTTATTAATAGGAAATGAATGGGCAGCAACATAGAACCCATCCCAAGAACCCTCAAACCAGTATTTACCCCGGAGAACACGGCTCCACAACGTATTTAGTAGCGGATCCACTTTTCCTTATCTGTTAACGAGACTATACCTTTCCTCTGCCTATGAGCTAGCTAAAGATCCATCGTTATCCTTTCCAGCAATGGAGGCGGAATCAATGGTCATGTCAGGTTTCAGATTCAAAGAGAGATGTCAAGCAAGCGCCGAATCTGAGTACTCAACTTGCCCGACCCGCCTCTTCCACTAGACCTCGTCTTTCAAAGAGCAGCAGCCCTGCAAGCCTAATAGAACCTTGTTTCCTGGGCCAAGTCAGCCTATAAGTAAGTAAGTAGGGCTGAAGACAATTTGTTTGTTAGTTTTTCAATCTTCTTCCTTCTATGCTTAGAGTAAGTGGAAATGACCTCCTTGATCAGCAAGTAAGCGAGCGGTAGTTCAGTCTCCGACAAGTGAGGCCGAACTAGCCCCTGGATCAGCTCTCATAGTGGGGGAATCAGAGTCAAGTTAGGCGCAAAAGAGGGGGTTGACATCATTCGTCGTGATTGGATCAATCAGACTCCCCCACAGGAAATGCCAAGGGGCGCCCTTTATCATCGCCCATTTCTTCCTCATCTGCTGCTGCCTTAAGTGCGTAAAGTAGGCTCAGCTTCTTTGGTTTCTAAATATCTTGTAGTAGCCGAAGGTAGTCCAGTCCGCTTGTTAGATTGAATTGAATCTTATATAACCTACGTAGCTAAAGAGAAAATCATAATAGTCTAAGTGGACCTCTCAAAGGTATAAATAAGTATACATTAGTCTTACTGGTTCGGTCTTTTTCTTTTTTTGTTATGATGCCCACATTTCATACTTCTCAATTCTTATTTATTCAAGGGTTCGTATGTACTGAGTGACTCTAGGTCTATTCAGATGCAGCTTCAAGAGAGCTTTATTCGGCCTTTGTATGACCGTCTTCCCTTCCTGTCTATCTCCTTCGGTCAGGTAGTTCTGCTTCCGATGCCGGAGGAGCTGGGTGGGATAGAAAGGTAGTTTCTGAGTTCGAGATGTCTGAGCTTGGAGGTTCCGCTTCTCTAATGTGATAATAAAGCAACAAGCAACGTCGCTCCCGTGCGCTCATCCCTTGCTTGTTCTTGAGCGCTAGTCATTCATCCGGGTTCTTGGGATATCTTGATTCTCTTTATGATGATGTAAGGGTCGGCAACAATGAATAAGGAATAGATCGGAAGTTCGCGCCAATCGATCTTCTGTAGGAGTAGGAGGTAGCGCGAATCCCCTCTTTCTTCGTTTAGAAGAGTGCTGGACCTCCACAACGTCAAACCATAGAACACAGCTCCTTTCGGTCGAACCCTAGGAAAGACGACTTTACCTTTTTCGTAGATAGTCTGAGTTCGAGCTACTGTAGTCTCCCCCGTTGACCTTCTTTTTTAGATAGAATCCTCAATGAGTGGAAAGGACTCCCAGACTAGCTCCGCAGTACGAGCCCCATACGGAGCCGCGCCCTTGTGATATGATAAGAAGAAAAGGGGCCAGGCCGCCCTCTTTTCTTTTCCGCACCAAGCCTTCTCTTCTTGTAAAATCGGGTGTATAGCTCAGTTGGTAGAGCATTGGGCTTTTAACCTAATGGTCGCAGGTTCAAGTCCTGCTATACCCAAAAAAAACCACTCTTGTATTCGTAAGGATGCATAGTAGCCTTCAAAGAGCACTCTTTGGCCTTGAGACTCGCCCCTTTCTCATCAACATCTCGACTTCGCTCGTTGTTTGAGGTAAGTATAAAGGAGATCAGACTGGCTCGGTACGAGTCAATCGACAAAAGCGAGAAACGAGGTTGTTCGACAAGGCTACGGTCTAACTTTTTCTTCCTAGCGGAGTTCAATACGAAAATAAAGGCGCTCCGCGTTGGGAATGGCGTACATAGTACGGGTGGCTGGTATAACTGATCAGGGTTGTTCTGAAAGCAAGTCAATTGGTGCTTTGGAAAGTGAGTGCCAGAGGCTAGTCACTGCTTGGTTTACAGAAGGGAAGGAAGAAAGAGATACCGAAGCAGATTCAGTATAGAAAAGAAGAAATTGATACCATTCATTCCAGCTTATTTGATACCCACTTCAAGTTTCTATCAAACCATGTCTTTTTCTTCGAACGTCAATCTCGTAGGAATTTCGATTGGAAGTGTGGTATTGAAGGGCGAAGCCTTTACTCTTTGACTTGTTTCTTTTCATATAACATAGTATTGACTGCGCACTTCGAAAGATGATGGTGTATTCTGAGGATCAGTCCGTTTTTTATTGAATTCGCAAATTGATAGATCTGGATGATTCAAAGAATGATTCTTCCCTGGGCCCGGTACCATTATTTAAATTGGAGCTTTTCAATTCCATTTTGGAGATTGAGGGGACCGCTCGTAACGATTTTTTTCTTTTTATGGGGGCAAGAAAAGGATTTGACTCTTGAAGATATCAACTGCTCCATACATTCAAAAACATTTTTGGTACTTTCTATGAGAATGGATAAATAGAAATGGGTACATTCCTCTTTCTCTTTCCTGGCCTAACTACCCATAAAAAAGAAGAGAGAGAGCTGTAAGAGCGGTAAAAGCAAGCTCGGTGGCCCGGTTCACTACAGGTTGATGTATCCTTTTGAAAGAAAAGTAAATTCGCTATGCTATAAGGTACCAATTCATCAAGGTATAAAACCACATCTACAGTGGGAGTCCCTATCTACTTTCGATTCCCTTCTTACTGGCTTTGCCAATACATCATACTGATTTGACGCTTCCTTACGCTTTCTTTCAAGCATTGCTTCCAGGACAACGGAGAGTATTCCAAGATAAAGAACCAGAACTGAGGTTGACACTACTGAAAGATAAAAGAATGGTGGATAGATGGATTCGCACCATCCCAAAACCGAAATACAGACAGACCAAAAAAGACGCAAATAAATACTCCACCACCAGCCTACCTACTAGCATGTATTAAGCGAATAGCTTGTATGGTAGTTGTTAAAGAAAAGATGTATGTAGTCCCGGAAGAGAAGCAATTGTCGTACGACCTGTAAGCGTAACTTTTGACTTCCTTGCCGTTTGTGAATTGAGTCAATCGAGTTACGTTTGCAAAATGAATGGAATTCTGGAGTGGACCGAATATCCATGGCAGAACCCCACACTGGTCAAAAATAAAAGTCAATCTCTCTAAAAAATAAGCACTTCAACAAGTCAGGGCCCTTTATTATACAACTCCTATGCGTAATTGATAGCTTTTTGGTATTCTCCATATATAATATATATACTACTCTACTAGGTACGAAATAACAGGAAAGATAGAAATAGTGACTTTGGCTTCAAATAGAGAGCAGCTTAAAGGGAACTCGCACTGGAGGACTGCTCTGATAAAATAACTGAACACTGGCTAGGAACTGGGCTGCACTAAGCCCGGCACTTTTTGGGCTTCTTCATGAATCTAGTTTTCAGGTAAGGTCAGATCATCTTATTGAATATATATCTGAAAGAAAGCAAAGGAATGAATCGTTTTTCCAATTACCTTCTCTCGAAAACCATAGATCCTCTGGTTACCATTGACTATCCGGCACTTTCGTCTGTAGAGCGAAGCAAGAAATTGCATGGAAGGGCTTGCCCTGCTAATATCAGCCTTGTTTGGAACAATAGATGCAATCCATTTCAGTGTATGTCACTGAGTTCACCATTGCAGTTGAGACGTCAGGCAATTGAGCGTTCCCTAGAGTTTGGTTCAAAGGCTAAGGACTCCCCGTCGCCTTCATAAGGGCACTAAGGTGGAGCACGGAAAATAAAATTGGGCACCCATGTTTTACCAGTCCCGGATCTCAGGGCCGTTTTGCCCGACATGAACGAAATCGAATTTCATTGCGGGAAATTTGGATTTCATGAGGGAGGAAAAGGCGAGGCGGAGGGTGGAGAGTCGTACAATGCATTGGTGGAATGAAGGTGCTAGCTTGGCTGAGATAGGAAGTTTCGATGTGTATGTAGATTTGGTTCTAGTGCCCCCACCCTTTTCGAGATCTGTCAGGATTCGCAAGATGTTCTGGTGTAAACTATAGAGAAATGGAATGAATGAAATGTATCTAAGAAGAAAGGAAGCCATGCTCCATCCTGTTTATAAAAAGAACATCACCTCCCTTTTTGGTTAGATACCGCTCCGTTAGGTACTAATGCTTCTACCTATCACCCTCCGGGTGAGTTTGAGCGCTGTGTTTTTTCCAACGTTAATAGCATTCCGCGAGAAAAGAGAAAAGTCATCTACTGATGTTGTCAGCGGAGTCCCTCGTCCATCCATGTATGAATAGCGGTATCCCCATTTTGGACAGTGATGAGGTAGTCGACGCAATTTGCATGTGTATTTGCGTTCGGCTTTGCTACTTTCCTTCTAGACTAAAAAAGAATGTCCGCGGAAGGGAATAGTCTACGTGGCCCGGGGTAGTCTTTCAATTCCTTTATCGGGTGGGAGAGTTTAGAACCAGTTAAGCCAATAGCTGCTGCTTTAGTCACACTAGCTACATCAGTTGATCATGGATTTAGCATACCACCTCAGAATAGTCTACGTGGCCCCTAGTTTTTACTATTATTTTGTGAATCCTGTAATGCAGACAGCCCTTTTTAAAGCGCTAGGCCGGGCTTGCCCCTGACTCTCAAAAAGAGCAGGAGGTTTTGCCTCAACTCATTCCATGAATGTTGTTTCATTCCCGCTGAATCCAACTCAGTCTTTATCCTGCCTTGGAGTTCTCTCTCATAACTGAAGCCAGGAGGTATTCGATTTATCGGATTTCGAGCCCCTTTTCTTGCTCCTTGCCATTAGCGCAGCCCTTTTCTTTTTCTTAGCTTTATTTGAAGCGTAGTTTTTCACCTGAAAAAGAAGGCGCCAGCGCTTTTGTAGTGACCCCC